AATAATAAATATAACTGATTAAACAAGAATAGTAATAATATAATACTACATGTTTTATGTAATAATCATTATGTTTATGTTATATGTTTATATAAAAATGATGATAATGTTCAATAATTAATCAGGGTAATAATTATAATAGAAGTATAATAATAAATATATTTTAACAATAGTATATTGATAAAATAATAAATATATTTAAATAATCGTATTAGTACTATACATTATATAATTTATAATAATAATAATTATTATTAATTATGTGTAATAATAATAATACATTTATTTAACAAGAATATTGTTAATATAATACTAATTGTGTTTTATGTAATAATCATTATTATTTGTATAATATAATAATATATACAATATAATAATTATATTATTATTATTATTAATTTATAATGTGCTTGTTTTAATGAAACGTGCATATCACACATACATATGTTACAAACTATTATTTTGTCGGAGAGTCTTTAAGATGATCGAACTGTTCTGTCTTGCGCGCGCGGGTGAGTGTGCGTGGCTCGCGGGGGGCCGCTGTGCGTGAGCTCGAGGAGAGGAGGTTTTCCGTAGCGGCGCGCTGCATTGTGGGACGGCGGCGGCGGAGGCCTAGACAGTAGACAGACAGCAGCAGCACTTCTGAGTGTTTGACACACGCGTGTTGATCTTGTTATTTAGCTGATATCCGGCGGTGATCGGTGAGTGATGCGGCAGGAGGACCTGATGAGCGCGGGGGAGGACGTGGCGGATCAGGTGCGCCGATCAAACAGCGCAGCAGCTGCTCATGTGCTTTTAATAGTGTGTGCATGGCATTAATCTGCATATGCATGATAAATATCTCAGATTATGCTTTGTTAAAGCTGTTGGTGCGTGCTTGCGTGCATTACTCACACTTTGCATTGGGAATTGTCATTAATCACGTCTGAAGATGAAATGCATGTTCATGCATTGAAAATAGAGACAAATACTGGTTGCCAAATGATGTTAGAACATATTCAAAGAGGATAAAACATGCAAGCAACTGCAATACCAAATGCACATTTAATATGCAAGCTCGCATCAAGTTTTCATGCTTTTATATTAAATGAGAAGCTTAACCTGCTCCGAAAGTTGAATACTATTCTCTTTAAACTAAGAAATCAGTTCAGCTGTTCTTAACATGCTTAAAGGACAGCCACAGCTGTGCTTGACTGTACTTTAATCAGAGCATTGCACTGAATGAGGTTGAGAAATGCATGTGGGTGATTGCTCAACCTCACGAGTTTAGACAAGCCTTTAATAAAACACATGCACTGGCTTTGTTTCTTGAGCGAGCTCGTTGCTGTTACAGAAGTGTGTTTTGCACAGGTCTGGATGCTCCAGCATATGTTCGCTCGCTCGCTGTCTGATGGTTTGTTTTCAGGGTGTAACTCAAAACCTCTTGCAAATCTGCAGTCTCTAAATGTGGAAAAGTGAGTGAATCGCAGGAGTTCGGGTTACTGGGGGAAGCCTAAATGTTGTGTTAATATGAATAGGAATTATTGATGCTGCTAAATCTTACATATGTGTTTGAGCGCAGCTGTTTGGCTTTATTTGCTTCTTCAGAATCTGTTATCGCACAAGATACAAGTCTGTACTTGCAGGATGATTCTAATCTGTTATACTGCATACTAGTATTTTTTTAATCCGTATGCAATAAACGTAATTTTGTATTTTTTTTGCCAGTCAAATAAAAATCAACAAGTATGACAATAATCACTTTGCATATCAAAATATAAAATTTTGTTTAACATATATGCAACAAATAGAAAGAAGTAGTTTTCAAACAGTAGTATGTGTTGTTGAATGTTGCACAGGGTTTTTTTTTAACCCAAAAGTGTCAGAGTCTTGCCATTTGTCAAATAATGAGTCAAGAAAGAGATGTTTTGCAGCTGTTATTATCCACACGTCATTTGCTATTTTGGAAATTGAAGGTCGAGAGCATTGCATTGTGGGATTCAGTATGTAGTGTAGTGTGCTTTGTTTGTATACTTCACATTCTGACTGTGCAATCCATGTATTCTGTGCACACTGTACATACTGTAGTCAGAGTAGTATCAGTGCTGTT